CGGCTCTAGAAGATGTTTAGTGGGTTCGCTGGGGAAGCATTTGGTGTCACCCCTCAAGAGGTGTTTGATTCCTCTAGGGAAGTGTTTGATGGTTTCTCAGATAAATAAGAGAGGCTAGAAACCTATATTTCCATGTAAAAAAATCTCTTGATTAAAATGGTAGCTCCAATGCATTTAAACCTAATTTTGGGTAAAACACTATTCATAGAAAAATAGTTCTGTGCTCCCATACGTTGACTGATCTCATACATTTCACCATTCCTTCACCAATCCTTTCATTTTTTTCCTTCTTGGCTTTTTGTCATCCTTTGTAGAATTTTAGTTATTCAAGGTGACAAGAATCATGGCATTAAGCCTAGCATGATGGCACACACCTTTAACAATCACAACACACAAAAGGCAGAGGCAGGCAATCTCTGTGAAGTCGAGGCCAACCTGGTTTTTGTATAGTGACTTCCAGGACAGCCAGGCCTACAAACAGGCATCCCGACTTGAAACACAAAAAAGAAGTCATAGCAGTAGGTTGGTCACAAGGACTGGCTTGCCTTCGATTTCCTTGAACAGTGTGCTATGGGTATCAGCACTTCCTTTGCACTAGGCTGCTTGGGGATTTCTTTTCTTAAGGTACCATTATTCTGTTATCAATAACGTATGAAAAGTGGTGTGGTTCAGGAAGCTCTTTCTAATTAGGAAGTTTAAAAACTCCCTAGTTAGAAAAATTAGATCCCTTACACAGAGCCTCTGGCATTCCAGTTTGAGACTCCCATGACAGATAGTCTCCTAGTTCAGGCACCCCACCACACTCACGTCTCTCTCTCCTTGGCCTCCCCTTCCTTCTGGTTCACGATGAATAACTGACCTCATTCCTTTTCTCCATAAAAGAGAAGCAAAATACTGCTTTTTTAAAAAATGGATTTTATTGACTAATAGATGCAATTCAAGCTTTTTTGTTTGTTTTACAAGAAATGTCAGATTCTAGGTTGTGGGAACTTTTTGTTGGAACCTACAATGTTTCTAGTCTGCTAAAACAAAGCAAAACAAACAGATGGGTTGAGGACATAGCTCATCGGTACAGCTCCTGCCTAGCATGTGGCAGGGACCTGGGTTTGAACACCTAACCACACAAAACAGCAAACATAGACAAATAAGCAACTACAGTGTAACAGCCAAATGAGACGATACATTTGTAGACTAAAATTAGCTTTGAAGCAATTAATGGTTACCCCATATGAGGGTCTTGGAGCAACCAGAGTTGCCAAAGTGGTCTAGGTAAAAGGCAAAGAAGCCTGGGCTCTTTAAGTGTGAGAAGTCAGAAGAATCGCGCTTTAAAAACGAAGAAAGCTGTAGCACAAAGATATTGGTTCCCACAAGACATGGTTTGTCCCGGTGTCCTCTGTAGGCAAGTGCTCTGTATGTGTGGGTTTCAAATAGACATGACTGATGGGTGACATTTGTTAGAAGCTAATGCCATTAAAAGATTTGCATCCCTTAATTCCCCAAGGGATGAGTAAAACATACACGCAGGGTTTCCCCCGAATTTCCATGCTGAGCCCTTATCTTCAGAGTGATGGTACCTGGCCTTTGGAAGGATTTGGGGTCTTGAGGGTAGCACCCACATTTAAAGCTGGTGGATTATCTTGGAGTTAGGTAGTTCTAGGAGGGCAGTCTTCCTTGATCCCCTAGCTGTCAAAATACCATAAAACATAGAAAGTGCAAACAAACCAACAAACCTAATAGTAATGAAGAGTTCCAGCAGAATTTCTGCACTTGTAGTAGAAGCGTGGATTGATGGAGAGGACCCACTTCTAAGACAACCAAGGATGTTATCGTCTGCTAGGTCTGGCTTCATTTAGATTAGATAACGGGACTAGGTTGGCTCTGCTGAGATTGGAGTCAGTTTTGTTTCCTGGTTCTCACACACTAGCCCGGCATTGTTGTGTTTGGATTCACAACATGGCCAAGGGATGTTTACGTCCCCACCCGGACAGCTGTGTCTACTGAAACAGAAGGAGCAACGGCGATGTTTATTTCCGGAACGGTAAAACACTGAAACTCTTGGTCTCTAAAAATAGGTCACTGTTACTTTGCCGTGAACCAGAATGGTTTACCTAGGTGTAGATCTGTCTGACAGTGGCTCTCCCAAGCTGGATCAAGTTGAGAACCGGTCTTATACGTTGTTGAGACTGCAGATTTTAATTTCCAGAATTATCACAAAATCTGGGCTACAGTTATAAGATTGTTTCCTGTATTTATTCTAAATGGGCAGTTCCGGGAAGTCATGGATGAGCCAACCCTTATGTCTTGACCTCTCTGAGTCAGAATTGCTTTCATGAAACCCGAACTCTGAGCCTGTGAAGTTTGCTAGACTGTTTGAATCCAGACCTACCAGCCCCGACAGGAATAAAGCAGAATGCAGGGAGGATTCCTGTTCTATCAAAGGCCTCTGGTGGTCTTAGGGAAGACAGGGGACTCTGTTTGGTTTGGCCTTTAAAAAATATCGAACATAGGTTTTGGTGATGCAAGCTAGTAATCACAGCTATTCAGGATACTGAGGCAGGAGGATCAAAGTTCCAGGCCTACAGAGTGAGTTCAAGGTTACTCCAGCAGCTTAGTGAGACCCTGTCTTTTTTTATAGCTGACCTTTTAAAAATGTTTTTAATTTAAATTTAAAAACAATCTCATTTTACATACTAATCCCAGTTCCCTCTCCTTGATGCCCTCCTACTCCCTCCACTATCTCCCCATCCCACCCCAGCTGCCAGCCTGGAGTCTGTGAGCTCCCCTTTGCTCAGAGACCATGCATTGATAATACAAAGACAAGAGAAGCTCAGTATATAGCTCAGTGATGGAGGGATTGCCTACTGTGTTCACGAGGCCTTTGGCTCAGTCCTCGTTACCATAAATAAAGGCATATGTTTTTAAAAGTATACGACTTTCTAATCTGTAAATCTAAAGATGCAATCTGTGGATAAGCTGGCTTCTCATGGAAGAGTTTCAGGCTGGTAATTTTTGCTTTGTCTTTTTACAGAGACATCTTTTTAGTTTTCTGTGGTCCCCAGACTAGCTTCCGTGTCCCCAACTCAGTGGCTGCATTTTCCACACTTAAGATATTGCCGTTATGAGTGAAAGGATTTATATTAGAATTATAGGAGATGAAAAAAAAAAAAAAGGATGGGTTTCAAGAAGTTAAGTGTGGGCTCAGTCCCCTGCCCATCACTCTCCTGCGGTGATCACTGGGGATTCTCACTCCCAGTTCTTCTGTTCCTCAACTCTGCACTATTCCCAGATGAGTCTTCTTAGGCCCATTTGTACCCCACAAACTTGCAATAGACAGCAAGGTGTGACCAGTCTCTGTCTCTGGTACCATGTTCTCGTACCTCAAACCCTAAATCATTTGGTCTAAGTGTCCTCACTGTTTGCATTTGACTCACCTCATATTGTAACCCAGGCTGTCCTCCAAGTTACTACGGAACAGAATCCTGCTGCTCTCACCTCCGGGAAAGCTGGCATTACAGACGGGCACCGCTGTGGCCGGCAGTGTTCCCGCCTTCTTTCTGGGTCCCATCGCATCCGCGCCTGTCTGAGAGCGGGACCATTTCTCTATCCTTCAAGGCCACGTTAAGAGCATTGCCTTCCCACCGAGCCACACAATTTCTCAGTTTCTTGTTTTACATTGTTTCCTGAAGTATGAAGGGACCCTCTCCTCAGAACTGGCTTCATTTTTGCTGGTTGGTATCAGAAAGCCGGAGTGCGCTTGACCAAGAACGCTGCAGGGTGACTGGGAGCTGAGGAAAGGCTCTCCCATGCTGCTCTCTGGAGTGTGGCCTACAGGGGTTTTTCCTTGGCTCACTGCCAAACACTCAGCCTCAGAGGCCTATTTCTTTATTTCCCTGTTTTCATTCAGGACATGTTGACTGCGTGTCCAGTAAGAGAGAGCTATTATTTATTTATTTATCTATTTATTTATTTTCAGCTGACCTAATCCCCCAAGGACAGATCTGACCCTTTGAAAGTGGAATTACACTTTGACTACTAGACACTGGAAAGAGTGGGATGGGGGAAATGGGATTTAATTAGTGAACACCATGTACACAGACGCAAACATCACACTTAATCTTATTAACATACACAATTCATTCGTGTTATTAAAGACTGGCTTTTTTTTTCTTGAGCAGGCTTCAGAGTGCCGGTCTCATTGCCGAGAGCTGGAAGTGCTGAGGGGACCACAGTCAGAGCTGAGGCACTCATCCAACCCCTGCAACGGTGAACTGGACGACAAGCAGCCTGTGATGTCCGCTCGGTTCCACTGACTGTCTTGTGGCTGGCTGCCCAGCCCTACTACTTCCTCATCCAACCCCATATAAGATGGACATAGCTAGGAAGTTATTCTGACTTCAAAAGGTAATTTAGCCTATTTTTTTCTCAGCCACCCATTTTACTTTCTGTCTCTCCTAGTCCGCTCTTAATTCTGTCTTTGGAAGAGACTGTGGGCACGCTTACTGCAGTAGACAGTTATGAACTCAGAGATGAATGCACAAAGAAGACTGTAAAGATGCATTGGAGTGCTGGTCTAACACAAACAAAAATGGAATAATATCATTTGAAAAAAAACCCACAGCACTCTTGAGGCAGATGTAGGCAGGTATCTGTGAGTGTCATGATCAGCCTGGGCTACATAGTGAATATAGTGAGGAATTCCAGAACACCCAGGGTTACATAGTGAGACCCTGTCTCAAAAAACCAAAACAAACAACACCAGCAGCAGCAACAACAACAAAAAAACCCAACAGCAACAGTAAAAAGGGGTTATCTTTCTTAAGCTGTCAGACAACCATAAACAATTGGAGCTGGGGACTGTGGCTCTGTTTGCTCCGGGACTGGTACATGCCACTGGGAGTCTTCTCCTTGGGCACTAAGGAAATGTGTCAAGGACAAAGGAACCCCAAACACTGGCTCCCAGATGGCTGTGCCCAAGCTTGGGTCTTTGGATCAGGCTGTGAAGAAATGCAAGAAAGGAAACTGTGTTGGTCATTTCTTCAAAGGGTGGAGACAGGGAGTGTGTGGTGAAGATTCCCCACCTGGGGATGGGAAGACAGGATCCATGCAATCTCTCTGGCCCCAGATCATGGCTGCACCGTGCCGGCAGCAGAGCGAGCTCTCTTCCCTTTGTGCTTGTTGTTGCTTCAAACAGGACATGACCTGCCTGGTTTGTTTTCATTTCTTCCTCCTTCAGACAGCGCATCCTGCCCGTATCTGGAAGGAAAATAAAGCAAAGGGGCGGAAACCGCTTCCCCACATTGAGTGACCCGTCTCCGTCCCTGGGACATGTAAGGATTTATTTCAGCGTTCTGGATGTCCCTCCCCCCCCACCCCTATTTCCCCTGACTCAGCTTCTCCAACTCAGCACAGCTGGCCACACACAGGTTTCCCACCTGCAACCAGGGCTCTGCCTCCTTCCCAGACCAATTCAGGCTAGAGACAGGAAGCAATTAAGCAGACCCAGCAAGGCCTTCCTCACATCCAGACATCCTTGATGCTTGTCCCTTTGTCGCTCTGCTGCCGGCTGAGGCTGAGGTGCACTGGAAAATGCAACAGGCTTCCTTGTTCCTCGCTTCTGTGGGCCTACCCAGGACACCTGCAGCTGACTTCCCACAATGAGTCTTAGTTTCTTAATCCTCCCTTTTTGCTTGGGGATGACTTCAGAGGCCTCTAGGTCCTGGGGCGAAGATGACCTTTGGTGCATATCTTTTTTTTTTTTTTTTTTTTTTTTTTTTTTGGTTTTTACGAGGCAGGGTGCAGGGTTTCTCTGTATTGTTTTTGAGGCTGTCAGCCCAGCCCGGCCTCGAACTCACAGAGGTCCGCCTGCCTCTGCCTCCCGAGTGCTGGGATTAAAGGCGTGCACCACCACCGCCCAGCCCTTTGGTGCATATTTTGAGAAGTTTGAGCATGTCCTGTGCCTGGAATCCCCTTTGCTCTTTCGTTTGTTTTGGATGTGGGTGGTTGGCCTGCTCTCGGCTCTATGTAGAATGTTTCACAAAATGCAGCCACGCAGCCTCCAGTTGTCTTCAAATCTCTCTGCTGTCTGTGGGCCCTTTCTGCATTATGTGCTGGGGCTGTCACTGCCCCAGGCTTTTGACTGCAAGTTGCTTTAAGTGTCCCCAAATCTGAGTACCGACTGTTTTCCCCACATTGCTGGCTCAGCTGCCAGGGCTCTCTAGCTGTCCTGGGCTCTACCTACTGTGTGATCAATGCTGCTTATGAGACTTAGTGGCCTGCCAACACTTCCTGTGGTGCCTTATGTCTGGAGACTAAAGGAAAGTTAGTTATCTGCACGTTTGCAGCTGCTGGGAGGGCTCTGGGGTTGAAGGAAACACAGCAATTGGCCTCATTGAATACGTCAGTCTAAATTCTGTTTATTTAGTCCAGCAGCGAACTAGCTAGCTTTCTCATTGCTGAGACAAAACACCGGGCAAAAGGGACCTAAGGGAAAGAAGGGCGGGCTTCTTTGGCCTCATGTTGGGGAAGGCAGCATGGAGGTGAGGGTGAGTCAGCTGTGGTGGCAGCCCCAGGATTCTGCCAGTCACGTGTCCACAGATAGAAAGCAGAGAGGTGACTGCTGGCACTCAGCTCCTTTTCTCCTGTGAGAAACCTTGTTTAAAAAAGATGCAGTTTGCGATCCCAGCCCACGGGATTGGTGCTACCCACATTCAGAGCGGGCCCTCTCTGTAAGCCTCCCCAGACACGCCCATCAAGATGACACCGAAGACTGACTGACCACCATAGGCAGCTCCAGAACGGGGGAGAGCTCTTTTTAAGTTTGCTTTACAACTCTGTTTTTTTTTTTTTTTTGTGGAAAAGAGACCAGTTTGCATTTTGAATATTCTATAATGAATTCATTGTGGTGATCAGAGTTAGAACGGGCCATATTTTGGGATCTCTTGTGGGTTCCTTGTAGGTTGAAACCCTTCACAGCTTACTGGGACTCGGGGCCCCGCTGTGCAGCTTTGGCACCTGGGCATACCTCGCACACCACTGAGCTGTCTGTAGTATCTCGTGCCAAGCATCTGTGAATCCAGCTTATACTCCCTTTTCTGTGTAAAGCCTCGACAGCACAGTAGACACGAGATACAACTGTAACACAGAAGAACTGCAGCTGTTGGAAACGCCGAAGTTTTCAGATACCAGTTTGTGTCTGGGGGTCCAGTTTCTGCATTGACTTCTCTGGGACTTTCTCTAGTCAAATGAAAATGTCTCTTCAAATGGACCTTCCATCTTACCCTGCAGGATGTGTTCCTATGCTCATAAAATCTGCTATAAAGACATTTTGTTTTCTGGGATGGGGTGTCATAATTTTTTATCTTTCAGCTTAAACAAATTGACTTTGCCATTGCATCCTTATAGGAAGAGTCTTCTAGAGGACGTCCTGGACGAATGGATGACCCAGTGGTGTGGAATGGACTCAAGGAAACAAAATGAGAGACCAAAAATGAGAGACCAAAGTCCTCTTGTGGGAGAGTTTGTTGTATGATCATCTTCTGGGCTTTGAAAAGGGGACAGGTGAGACTGGTTTCTCACAGGGTCACAGAGAGTGTCCAGTTAAACCTGTGGATTTTACACATTGAGCCAGGCTGGTTATTGCAATGTCCAAGCCCTCCCTCTCTCGGAGCATGTGGTCAGAACATCTGTGACTTGGACCCTTGTTCTGTACTTCTGGACAAGTTTTCCAGCTTCACACAGAGTCGACAGTGCATGACGCTGTAATTACACTCGTGTCTTTTTCTTCATTAAGCGGTGTTTTCTTGGAGAGCAGGGACTCCGGTATCATTAAAAAAAAAGATTCTATGTAATTGTGTGTATGCGCATGAAATCAGGTCCACATGGGAGTCTTCGTCAATCTCTCTCTTCCTCATTGAACCTGGAGCTTGCTGATTCAGCAAGGCTGGCTGGCCAGTGAGTCCCCAGGACTTGCCTCTCTTTGTTTCCCAGGGCTGGGGTTAGTTGCACACCACCACCTGCTCTACTGAGACTACGAACTCAGGTCTCACTCTTGTACAGCAAGCATGCTACCACTGAGTCACCTCCGAGCCCCTTGCCTTTGTTTCCTAACTTTCTTGATGACAAAATTGTGTTCTTTTCATGGTGCTCTTTTCGCAGGCCCAGAGGTGTTCTTCCCAGCCAGATGCAACTCTTTCCTAAGAAATACTAAATCATTGCATAGGGGACATTTTTAGTTTGTTGTTATTCTACTTTACATCCTTTTTGTAGCATTTCAAGCTAGTTCTAGATAAAAATAGCACAGCTTTCCGAGAAATATGGCAATTTTGGTCTCTGTGGGGGAAAACAGTGATTTGGCCTTTCTAGTCAATGTGTCTTATGGGCTCCAAGGGATGCTAACATTGGAGGCTGCAGGGCTGCGGCTCTATTGCAGGTAAAACGAGGCACAGGTGAGAACTGAACATGATCTTATTGTTTCCAGACCATGGGGAAAGCTAGATGTGCCTTTCTTAGCAGGCCTTTGTATGTTGCGTTTGGGAAACAGCACAGTGTGGGATCCGGAGCTGAGCATCTCAGCAACTGGAGTTAACTGTCCCATGTGCACATCTTCTTTAATGCATTCAAACAATTCTAACTACTTTAGCTTTGACAACTCACACAGGCCAAGGTGAGGTGTGGGAAAACCATCATGGCTCAGCAACTGAGGACTTGCAGAGGGGGAATGAGACACTGGAGCCTGCTGACGGCAATCTCAGTAGATCTGGAGCTATGAGATTTGGCCAAGGGGAAAGGGACCAGATGTGTATGAAGTCTCTGGTCCTCTGGGGAGACCCATTTGGGGAAATCTGCCACCTACTTACTTGGTTACTGTTTGATCCATTAGTGTTTGTTAATCTGATCCAATGGACTCACCTGCCTCTCTCAACAGAGAAAGCTGTGGTCTCCATTGATATGTAGGGCTCTGGGGACAAACATTCAGATACAGGAAGTTCAGCTTGTTCCTAAAGAAAATACAAAGAAAGGTCAATGCTGAAGCCACCTGGACAAATGTGTGAGGAAACAAATTGCTTCTAGTCTAGAGACTACTAAATTCCAACCAGCACACATAGGTGTGCACTGGGCACATGTAGCCAAACCAGGTGCTCTCTGTTGAAGTCTGAAGCCACTGCAAGACCTCTAGTCTGTGTGAGTTACTTTATTTATTTTACAATAATTGATGTAAAATGCAAGTGTTGCTAGGGACAGTGTGTAGGATCTTTATCTTCTCTTAACCTGACTTTCTTTGCAGTTTTGCTGGCATCAGCTGGTCCCGTGCAACTCCTTTCTTTCCCCTTCAATGGATAGTGTGAGCTGTTTAAGTGGCTGCTCATATTACATGTTTGTCGAATGCCAGGTGTTCCTCCACAGACTTGAATAGCTCATAACTCTGAGGGGAGGTGTGATCATTCCCATCTTCTAGGAGAGGAAATTGAGGCTTAGAAGGTTCAATGGCTTTCACTCAGTGCCGCACAGCTGGAGGAATTCAAATGCAGGGCCTTCTGACTGCAAGTGAGTCCCTCCATGTCGTGGATATGTTTGCCCTGATGGGGTTGCTGTTTTTGTATTGGCTGCTGGGCAGCTGAAGCCAAATTCAGACTACCACAAGCAAGCTTACATTCTGGCGAAAAGGAACATACTGAATTCAATTCGGGATTGTTGTGCTTTCAATGCTTTTATGTTATTTTTTGTAAAGTTTGAGTACTTGCCTAGTTCCATTCATCAGTCTGTCCCTCCATCTATCTATCTATCTATCTATCTATCTATCTATCTATCTATCTATCTATCTATCATCATCATCATCATCTAGGTATCTATCTTCTATCTTTTGTCTCTATCCATCCATTTAAACACATTTGGTTATTTAACAGACAGGCTCTATGTATGCATCCCAGGCTTGACCTGAACTTGCCTGCAATCCTCCTGCTGTAGCTTCCCCAGGGCTACATGTAGCCTTCAAATATTTTTTGACAGTATATTCACAGGATCAAGAAGCAAATGGGAAGGGAAACTTGTGTAAAGAAATAATGTTTAGACCTAATAATTGCCAAGGTTCCCATTGTTCAACATAAATTTCATGTCTTTTCTTCCTTCCTTACCCCTGCCCTCAGCCCCCATCTTTCTGTGTAAAAATATAAAGCCATTGCCAGACTTTTGACTGTGTGCAAATTGTTTTCTGTTTTAATTGAATGTCTCAGACACAAATATCAGTAATGAAATGTTTGGAGGTTTTTTTCCCCCTTTGTTTTTTATTCTGGTGTCAACCAAGTTCAGCTGGCTCTAGTTATAAGTGATCCAACAGTTTTATAAGCAATCATTTCCCCAGGCACAGTGGCAAATGAAATGCATTATGGGAAACTTGTGAACAATACAATTTTATCTCACTGCTGAGAGAAAGGGGGGAAAAAAGAGAGTCTTGGTCACTGCTAGGCATTCCCTTTAGCCATGTGTTTTCTGAGCTCAGGCAACAGACGGAATGCTTCAGGTTGGAGATTTCTGATTCCTTTGTAAACAGTAATAGAGTTACATCCACTCCTTTGGAGGCCTGAAGCAGCGAGTCACCAGCAGATTGGTTGAGATAAGGTTTCTTGAGAGTTTATCAGTGGACATGCCTGCCAAATGATTTAATGGGCATGCTGGGTGATTTTTTTCAAAAAAACAAAATCGTATTAGCTTATTATTAGAAAATTATAATGAGAATGTTATGAGTTCTTTTTGAGGCAATATTAAACAGTTCTCTCGAAGGCAGCACACAGAAAAACGCTGAGTCAGCGACAAGGAGAAAGGGTGTTTGTTCACGACGCAGTGTGGAGTGCAGAATGCTTGTAGACGATAGCTGGAAACCCACAGCCACTGAGATGATCCGTTGTTTGTTGTTTTTTGTTTAGGACAGATGTAGCTGGCTCAGTTCATCTTCAGTACTCCCTGACATGATGCCAGAAACTGGGGCAGCCTTTCCCAACCAGTCATCCAACGAAGATGAGAGAAACGTCAAGAACTTTCAACAAGACGTCAGCTCCGTGTTTTGTTAGCCTGTTACTAAATACAGCAGCTGCTCACCTCTAGAATTCCTGCTATGTGTTAAAAGTGCTGGAAATTAGGCTTTCTGCGAATCGAAGCTGAAAGTGGTCCTAACTTTTTTTTTTCTTTTTTCCAACTGTCTGTCTGGCCCTGTGCCTGGTGTGGGCTGCTCTGAGTTCTCTCACTAGGTTGTCCTACATCAATTATAGCTCTCAACTGTTTATTTCTCTTTACCCTCTCTCTATTGGCTGTAAAATACTTGAAGACTTTCCTTGTGCTCAATACATGCTGTGTCTTACCAAGCACTTACAGATAGATAGTTCACAAGTTAATAACAAGTTAAAAATGAGTTAGTAAATGCTTGTAGCCAACACCTTTCCTAAATAAGATAAAAAGGAGAGTCAGGGCCATCTGCCCAGCTGCCACACTGTCCTCTGGGAGGCCCATCTACTAAGGTTCTTTCTTTGGCAAGGGAGGCAACCACTTTCGTGAGCCCTTGGGGAAAAAGCAAAACAAAACAACAACAGCGACAGCAAAACACACCTTATCCCTCCAGAACTCAGCTCACAAGCCTTTGTCTTCAGTGGTCTAGGGAGATCTGAACTTTATCTATCATTTGAGTCTTGCTTCCAAGGTTTGCTGAGGATACACCCTCCAGTCCATCAGCCCTGTTCATCTTTCTTTTAAAGAACTCAGCTACATGTGCCGCAGTGCAGAAGTCTGAACTCCCAGGGGTTGGTTTTCTGCTTCCACATTTAAGTAGGTTCCAGGGGTTGAACTCAGGGTAGTGGGCTCTCAAATTAAGTGCCTTGACTCACTGAGTAATCATCCAGCCAGAGATTTAATTCCATAGTAACTCTGAGTTAAGACAGCCTAAAAGGGAAAACACAAATGCACTCTTCCTCCAAGGCTTGTTTCCCTTTCTACTGTATTCTAACAAGTGACGTTCTGGGGAAGGAGAAGAGACAACAGACTGATGTTGGCAGTTCCAAGACCATGATGGTATTCCTCCTCACTCAGAGAAAAGAAATTTTAAAGTGATGTATGACTCCGGGGGCTTACCATTGTCTCTGTGCCTCAGCTATGGAGAAAGCCACCCAGGTAGACTCAGGCCACCTATTTTATGATACCTTACATTTACCTTGAAAATCCCTTCTGTGACCCTCTCAGTGGAAAATCTCCTGTTGTGGAATCAAGACATATTCAAATCTTCATCCGGGGCATGCAAAAATCTTAAGTAGTTCTGCAGTTTCTGGTAAATGTGTCATGCAGTTTATTTTTCACAAAGTGCCACATGAAACACTTAATTCAGTTTAACAACAAACTTTGGCTTCTAGTTAGTTTCTTGCGTGTGACTTCAGCAGGTTTGCTGGAGTTGGCTGTGGGTGTTTGGGAGGTGTGTTGGATGCATTACCAATGCTTGTGCACAGAAAATTAAGTGTTACATTGCTTCTATGCTGCTCCATCACTCTGTGTAAATCCCAACGGCAAACCAGCGTCTCTGCAAACTATTCCTAGCAGAATATCCTCCCCGGTCCACAGTCTAGAAAGAACTTAAAACAGATGAAGACCAAACACACATTTTGGCTTTTGGCCTTCACTGTTTCATGGCATGGTTTTGAGCTCCTCTTTCCAAAATAGAAAGTTTTCCTGCAAGGATATCCTTCTTTCTGAGAAGAGTGGTGGTACATGCCTTTAATCCCAGCTCTCAGGATGTAGAGGCAGGCAGATCTCTGTTGAGTTCAAGGCCAGTCTGGTCTACAGAGGGAGTTCCAGGACAGCCAGGGCTCCACAGAGAAACCCTGTCTGGATAATTAAAAGAAAAAAAACCCCTTCCTTCTGGGAGTATGAGGATGTCAGTGAGGACCAGGCTATGCTGGCTTCAAAGAAGATCATGTGTAGAGTAGGACCATGCACTTGTGAATCTGTGTTTTGTGAGAGGCTACCAACCCTTCAGTAGATGTCCCCTTACTTGGGCATGTACATGGACTGAAATGGAACCAGTAAGCACTAAATTTTGAGAAAGATAACAAGAGAGCACATGAGTTTGAGAGTGACAAATGGTGGCAGAGGTGTGGAGCAATGCGGAGGTAGGTTTAATCCAAGCACACTGTGTGTATGAATTTCGACTAGAATGCATTTAAAGACTACTTTGCTTGGTGTCTGTGTTCAGGTTGGACATTGCAGCCTGGTTGTGGTTGCGTGGGCTGCAGATGGTCGGACTCTAGTTTTCTCCGTTCTCCACCTTGACTGAGTGGAGGTAAGCGGGAGTGTGGTCAGTGTTGCTTAGAGTGCAAAACTAGGGAGTAGGCTAGGTTTGCTTCAGAGTCAGCCCTGCTTTAACGTGTACAGTGTCATGCAATCAGTTACTAGTTACACAGTCGTACCTGATTGCCCACTAATAAAAATAAAAGTTAAAGCGAGTTTGAGCCCTCTTGACCATCTTTCCCCAGGTTTAATTCAGTTCCAGGGCAACTGTCACCACTGAGGCCTGGTCTGAGGACCTTCAGATACTTTTTAAACATCATGCTGTACAGATGCTAGAGCTTATGGGATGCCACTCTGTTTTTCTTGGGTTGCTCTTCATTTTGTTTATTGAGGCAGGATTTCTTCTTGAACTTGGAGCCCCTGACTCTAGCTAGTCTAATAGTATCCTAGCTTGCTTTATATTGCTGTCAGAAAACATTGGTCAAAAGCAACTTGTGGGAGGAGAGGGTTTATTTGATTTACAGTCACACTCCATCATTGAAGGAAGTCAGGGCGGGACCTGGAGGTGGAGCTGGAGACGGGCCTGAAGCAGGTACCACAGAGAAATGCTGCTTCCTGGATTGATCACCTTGCATTCTTTTATCATCCATGACCACCCACTCAGAAGCTGCATGGCCATACAGTGGTCCGCCCCCCCATCAATCATTAATTTAAAAAGTGCCCCCACAGATTTGCCTGTAGGCCTATCTGCAGCAAACAAATTTTTTAAATTGAAGTTTCTTCTTCCCAGATGACCTTAGCTCGTGTCAAGTTATATTAACCAGCACCTCTAGCTAGCCAGCTTGTCCCAAGGATCCCTCCCCTGTCTCTGTCTCCTGAGTGCTGGGATTACAGGTGGCCACCATGCTTGCTGGACCTTTATATGGGTTTTAGGGATCCACACTTCAGTCCTCACACTTGGAGTCAACTTTATCCACTGAGCCATCTCCCCAGCCTTGACTTACTACAGCTGCTTAATTCTTATAATAATGATAAGGGTTATTTGCCGTTGGTGTTTCATTTTAGGTACTTCGAAACTGAAGCTGAAGTCACATAACTGGATTTAACTGAAACAGCCTAATTCTGATTCCAAGTTCTTGGTAGACAAGGATGCTTATTTATATGATTGTATTCTGACACAACTAATTTGTTTACCTTCATGGTGCAACAATTCTATCCATTTCACTATTGGCCTCTTTGGGTACTGTGGGGAAAATGATAATAATGGCTGTCCATCTAAACACTTGCACAGTTACAAGGCCTATTTTGTATGTAACAACAATAAACCAAATTCCCATTTACTGAGTACCTTGCACATGCTAGGTATTGCTCTAGAATATTCTTCGCATGAATCTCTTATTCCATTCAAAACTCACAGTCACATAGAGAAATAAATATTAGTCCTCTTGTGGAATATTAGTTGAAGATGTATTTATTTATGCTGTGGAACATTTGTTTAATGATGCAAAGATGTGTTGCATTCTTTTATGTTGCATTTGTTTAACTCTATGAAGTTGTGTAACTTTGCCTGTCTAAAACACTTGATTGGTCTAATAGGGAGTTGAATGGCTGGTGGTGAGGCAGGAGAGGGATAGGCTGGGCTGCCAGGCAGAGAAAATAAATAGAAGGAGAAAAAGAAGAGAGAGGAGTGAGAAAAGGAAGAGAGGAGGATGCTGGGGGGGCACCCACCCAGTCATACATAGAATAAGGAGAGAAAAATATACAGAAATAGAGAAAGGTAAAAGCCCAGAGGCAAAAGGTAGATGGGATAATTTAAGAAAAGTTGGCTAGAAATAAGCCACATTAAGGTTGGGCATTATTCATAAGAATAAGTCTCCATGTGATTACTTGGGAGCTGGGTGGCCAGCCCCCAAAGAGTAAAGAGTAAAAACAAGGAAGCAAGCAAAGAAAAACAAAAGCCACCACACAGTCCTCTGGACAACAAAAGAAACTGACAGCATGAGGTTTCCCAAGGCCATGCCAATAAGGAGAGCGCTGTGTGTGAGCCAAGTCTGCTGCCTCGCTACCCCAGCCTCCCACTGATGAGTTCAGGGCTGAAAAGGCTGGGGGCGGCACCTAGTCGGACCAAGTGGGCCACTTGGGGGAGAGTCCGTATGCCTTGGAAAGGTCGTCTTGTCTCTTTCCTTCTGTCTTCCTCTGCTTCTCGGCGACGGTGAGTGGACAGCTTTGCTCTCCCGTGTGTCTCCCAGCATACTGTTCTCTCTCACCACAGCCTCAAAACGGAGGGTCAGCCAGCCAACCATGGATTGAATCCTTGGATCAGGAGACAAAATTAACTTTCTGCCTTTAAATCGTTTCTGTCAAGTATTTTTGTCACAGTGACAAGAGATTGACTACCACAAAATCACATTCTGTCAGGAATGGGCACCTACCAGGCATGGTCTCTATGGTTCACCAGTCCATGTGACTGCAGGACCCAGAGCTATGCAGCCCCATCATACCGGCCTAGGTGAGCCAAGAATTGTAGGCATCTGTACAGGCTAGTTTATGTCATCCCACAAGCTAGAGTCACCAGAGAGGAGAGAGCCTCAGTTGAGGAATTGCTTCCATAAGATGGGGCTCTGGGCAAGCATGTAGGGCATTTTCTTAATTAGTGATTGAAACTGGAGGAGGCAGCCTCTGGGTAAGTAATCCTGGGAGCTATAAGAACCAGGTTGAAGCTGAGTGTTGGTGGCTCATGCCTTTAATCCCAGCACTCGGGAGGCAGGCAGATCTCTGTGAGTTCGAGGGCAGGCTGGTCTACAGAGCTAGTTCCAGGACAGCCTCCAAAACAATACAGAGAAACACTGTCTCAAAAAAACCAAAAAAAAAAAAGCAGGTTGAGCAAACATTACACTCTTCATCAGCTCCTGTCTCTAGGTTCCCTCCTGATTTGAGTTCCTGCCTTGGCTTCCTTAATGACTGTGATTTAGGATATGCATGCCAAGTAAACCCTTTCTCCCTAAGTTGTTTTTGTCATGATATTTCATTACAGCCATAGTAACCCTAACAAAGATTGCATCCATTTTAAAGACTTCATCCATTGAGAACCAGGTCTAGCCAGGCCCACAGACAGTGTTATTTGTTGTTTTCTGAATGAACTTCTTGCTTCAGTTCTAAACTATTTAGACTTTTGTCTTGAATACCTTCTTTCTACTAGTCTCTGAATTTCTGCCTGACATCTCTGTGACTTGCTCTCTCCAATCCCTTACTTGTGATTTGGACATCCTTCAATCAGTTGTGGAGAAGCTGCACTTTGTGGGTGGCTTATCTTGGAATGAAACTGTTCTTCCTATAACTATACTGATCAAATAAAGAGTCTCAAGTACAGTTGGAGAGATGGCCAAGTAGTCGAGAATGTTTCCTTACTTTTTAGAGGGCCAGAACTTGATTTCCAGCACGCCACTGGGTGGTTCACTACTGTGGGGAACTCCAGTTCTAGGGCACCTGAACACTTGTATATATGCACACATACACATGAATAAAGATAAATATTTAAAAAGGAGTATAGCCCATGGCAGGGATGTATAGCTCGGGGCTTCTGTTACTGAGATGACTGTAGTTATTGTAGACTCCTTTACTGAACATGAAGCACCCATTCAGGAGTCAAGTATCAAAGGTAGCATTGTTTAGCGTTTGTCAGGGGCAGGAATAATTTGGAGATAAGTGGTTTGGATGTACAGATCCATTCCCAGCCTGGGTTATTTATGTTCAAATTCCTTAGTGTCTAATAACAAATACGTCTCTTCCCTCTAGGAATGCCAGGAACAACACCTACAGGGGACTCATGTATCCCAACCAAAATTGTAACAGTTCAGAGCCTTCATATAGCTGGAGGGTGGTATCATACTGACATTAGAGCCAGCGTTTCCCTTACAGTCAAGAGTTCCTGTTCCCCGGTAGAGCGATGATACAGAAATGCTACTATATGATTTAGAAATGCTACTATAGGCAGAAGTTTTAACTGTGAAGATGGGCTCTGAGTTCTTTTTTGTTTGTTTGTTTTGTTTTACGAGACATAGTTTCTCTGTATTGTTTTGGAGGCTGTCCTGGAACTAGCTCTTGAAGACCAGGCTGGCCTCGATCTCACAGACATCTGCCTGCCTCTGCCTCCCGAGTGCTGGAATTAAAGGCGTGCGCCACCAATGCCTGTCTGGACTCTGAGTTCTTGAGTCTTTTAATTGCTGTTCTTGATGATCAGGGTGGTTGAAAAGGAGTGCATTCAAAAGTTGTGAATCTGTCCTACACGTAAGTGTAGCTGTCATTCCTCATCAAGGAAGCTTCTCTTTGCAACAAATGTAGAGCATTATAAAATACCAAAACTGGTTAAAATACAGAGGACAAATGAGCATGGGGTGCCCAGCCCGGATGGATACATCTACAACACAGCTCCTGAGTCTAAGACTCTGGGAACATGGAGAATGAAGGGGCAGAAAGATTTTATGAGCCAAAGGATCTTGGAATCTGCTGTGAGATTATGACTCCTAGAAACGACAGGGACACTTCACTCATTCAACAATACGGCTGTGTAAACAGGATATGGACAAGGGCAACAACAGATATGCTAACGTGGAAGGGAGAAATATCTTGCAGCCCCACACCAGGACAAAGGAACTACAGGTAACTAGTAATGCTGAGACAGGGAGAGTTAGTAAGCCAGGGACGAGCCCTTTAATTGGTTATCCAACACCAAGCTGTCAGTCCTGAAATCATATACATATGAACGGACTCAGCAAGTTGTATTTCTATATTCATATATTCATATATACTTGTGTAACTATTTTATTTCTATAATCATATATTCATGCATATATACCTGTGTATCGATAATAAGGGAAAGGAAGCCATGAATTTATGAGGGGGGGCATGGAAGTGTTTGGGGGAATGAGAGGGAAAGGGGAAAATGATATAATCATATTTTAATTAAAACTAAAAGCAAAAGTTGTAGAGCAAATGTTGAAAAGAGTCCTGGCTGTATCCAGATCAACTAAATTAGAACCTTCGGGGACCGCTTAATCAGCAATCTTGTGCAAGTCCTCCAGGGGTTTCAGTGTGCACTCAGCAGGTCACTGCTGTAGCAGGAATCCATCTTCTTAGCTCTTAGTGTGACAGGAGCCCAGAGCAGGGAGGTCTCCAACAGCCCAATCTTCGTCGTCCTGGTTGCCAGGAAATACAATCATTTGCTCTGTGAAATGGATTGAAAACACCTGGCGGATTAAACTCAGTCCCGTCACTGACAGGAAATGTTATAGTCTGAGTGTGCCCCCTAAAACTCGTGTGGGAAATTTAATCTCCAATGCAGCGTTGAGGACATTAGGGAGGTGTTTAAAGTCACGAAGACTCCACACCCACTCATGGATTAGTGCAATGATACAAAGGCCATGCAAATGGGGACCATTCTCTCTTGCCCTCTCCTCCATCCACCATGTGAGGAAGCAACAAGGAAGTCCTCACTATGATGCTGGTTTTATTATTATTAGCTTGACAAAGATCTCAAATTGTCTAGAAGTGTTTCAGTGATGACTGTCTAACTCAAGTTGGTCTGTCTGCCAGCGACTGTCTCCATTTCACTGATGGACTTGGGAAGAGCCGGCCCACTGTGGGCAGCTCCGTCTCTTGGGTCTGGGTCCAGGGCTGTGTAAGTGTAGAGAGGAAGCTGAGGACTAATAAGAACGCATGGATTGTTTCTTCCTGCTCTTGACTCTCCTTGCGATGTGGCTAGCTGTTTATATTTCTGCCCTCTTGACTGTCTTGCCATGATGGACTGTAGACTGGGCCTGAATTAAAATGAACCCCTTCTCCCCTAACTTGCTTTTTTACCACAGTAACAGAGAGGGACACTAGCATACTTGCTGAAGGCTGGGTCCTTGAACTTGGACTTCCAGCTTCCAGAAGTCGTGAGAATTAAATTTCTGTCTGTTAGCCAGCTGCAGGCATTCTATTGTAAAGGCCCAAGATGAGCCAAGATAGAAATTCAGTCATAGTGTTACGTGGTCAGTGCAGATGTGTGTCACCAGTGTAAGCTGGAAGCTTCTTATAGAAGGCCTGTGTTCCCTGCCTTTCTGTCTCTGTCCCTGCATCTGTCTGTCTGTCTGTCTGTCTGTCTGTCTGTCTGTCTGTCTGTCTATCGGTCTCTGTGCTGACCCTCCTTTGCTTGCTATTGAATTTCCTTATTCACATCATTTTGCCAACAGCTCTCTCAGAGAGACTTGGGAAAAAAAATCACTAGAGACCTTTAATCAGTACGGGAGTGGAGATGGTTGGGTTGACCTAGCTCTGTTCTGGTCCCTCTGGACTTAACTGCTTGCTTTCTTCTCCTGGAGTTCTCATGCCCAGGAATGTCTTGTGTGTTGGGATGTACTCCCTCAGCCCCTTATTGGAA